CATCATCATCATCATCATCATCATCTGCACCTCCACCATCATCGTCAACGTCATCTTCATCTTCATCTTCATCTTCATCTTCATCTTCATCATCATCATCATCATCATCATCATCATCATCATCATCATCATCATCCCCTCCTCCTTACGTGGGCACAAGTGCGTCAAGTCCCGCGTCTTCCCTTTCTACCTGCATCCTCCCTCCCCTACCTCCCCCTCCTGCCTCCTGTCCCATCCCTCCTTTCCTTCTCCCTCTTCCCTCCTTCCTCCTCCCTCCTCCCCCTTCCGTCCTCCCGCCTCCCCCCCCATCCCCCCCCTCCTCCTCTTTCTCCTCCCTCTCCTCCTCCTCCTCCTCCTCCTCCTCCTCCTCCTCCTCCTCCTCCTCCTCCTCGACCTCCTCCTCCTCGACCTCCTCCTCCTCCTCGACTGGAACGGTGGGCGCCCCCCTCGCACAGGACGCCGCGGCGCCTTCTCCCGCACGGCGGCCAGCTGCTCCGCCACGGCCATCGAAGCACCGCTGCCGCCCGGGGCTGCCGCCCGGAGGCGCCCGGAAAACTCCGCGCGGCGCGGCGGCCCGCCGCGCCCTCCTGGCAACCTCCGAGGCCCTCCTGCAATCCCGCCCTCCTCCTCCGAGCTCCTCCTGCAATCCCGTCCGAGCTCTTCCTCCAAGCTCCTCCTGCAAGGCCCCCGTCCTCCTCCAGCCTCCAGCCTCCAGCTTCCTGCTGCGGCCTCCTCCTCCTCCTCCTCCTCCTTCCCTTCCATTGCCTCCTCCTCCGCCTCCAACCGTCTCTCTCTTCCTGCTCCTCCTCCGCCCTCCGTCCTGCATCATCTCTTCTCCTTTCTGCCGTTGGCCTCCTCGTGTTCCTCGGTGTGGTGTTTTCCCCCCCCCCCCTCCCACATTGATTCCCTCACCCCTGGCCGCAACTTTCCGGTCGTAGCTTCCCACAATCATCTTCTGAATGTTCGTCCGTTGTCAGCTCGCCTGCTAGCCATCGTGGGCCCCAGACAGTGAGTGTGTGTGTGTGTGTTGCGTGCGAGTTCCAGCACTATGTGAGGAGTGATGCTGTGACATCTATGCTGTTCGATATATGCTGTGAAATCGGGGTGGTGCAATCTATGTTGTCACATCTATGCGGACCGATCTGGGTGGTGCAATCTGTGATGTGCAATTAATCTGGAAAGCCTGAATTGTCAACACCACTGCTCGCGATATCGGCTCACCCACCCACCCGCAACCTAGTTTGCCAATCCATGCGGCATCGATTGCGATGAATGCTGGGCGCTGGCTGGCGCATCGCTGCGGCCGCGCTAGCCCGCGCATGATCGTGCGCACAGCGGCCAACTAAGGTGGCGTGACTGACGAGACCGCGGATGACTTCCCAGCACATCTCGAAGGCTGCGTTGGACCACGGGCGCTTCAGTGCGAATCCCTGGCACGGGCGGGTGCGGAATCATGGCGACATCGACAACGGTAGACACCATGTTGCTAATAGCGATGATGGTGACGATGGTGACGATGACGACGGCACGGCCAATCACGGCGCCGCTGCAGATCACGCCGATGACGATGATGGTGTCCTCGCGACGGTTTGTGGCAGGATTTCGACATGCGCGCACGGCCGACCGGCGCGAGTGGCCCGAATGGTGCGACTTGAGAAGTATCGTGCCCCACCAACACAAGCGCAAGGGCGTCCGAATGATTTCGACATGCGCGCGCGAGGAGCCCGTTTGGTCGGATTTGATGAACCTGTTGGAGAACCGATGGCCCGATGCGTTTCTGCGGATTCTAAAAAAGCGCGCAGGCTTTTCTAAAACTGGTGTTGTACGGCATTTGTTATACAAACATCTGTTTTCGGGACGCTCGAGTTTGACATCATCACGCAACATGACGTCTTTGATGGATTCCGGCATGTGCGCGCGTGCATTTCGTCCAGTTCTTTGGCAAAGGAATTTTGGACACTGCTGATTTTTGACAAACGAGTGCGCGCGCATAAAATATGTTATGCAAAATGGAGGGGGGGGGTCGATACCGATTGGGCTGGGATGGTATGAACTCGTTTTGCGGACTGACGGTGGGGCAAGCTCATCTACAATTGCAATACAACAGTGCGGGCGGATATTCCTGGGGAGCGGTGGTGGTACATCCTGATATTTTTTTTACAAAGGACAGCCGAGGTAGTGCATTCTATATTGTGCAATACATGTGGCGCAATCTACGTGGTGCAACTAACGTGGTGAAACTAATTGTTGTTCGCAGTGATCGGTCATCCCACCCACACACCCGCAATTTGGCGTTCACAACCCGTGCGACGGCGATTGCGATTATTGCTGGGCGCTTGCTGGCGCATCGCTGCGGGCGCGATAGCCCGCGCATGCTCGCGCGCACAGCGGCCAGCTTGTCTGGCGCGACTGGCGCGGCCACGGTGGCGCTGACCGCTGGGGGCTTCCCAGCGCGTCTCAACGGCCGCGCTGGACCACGGGCGCCTCAGTGCGAGTCGGTGACTCGGGCGGGCCCCCTTATCATGGCGACGCAGGCGACGGCACACATGATGATGAGAGTAGCGGTGCTGGTGACAATCACGGCGATGACGACGGCAAGGTTAATCAAGGCGCCGAAGCTGATCACGCCGATGGCGATGATTGTGTCCACGCGTCGGTGATGGAGATTTTGACAGGATTTCGAAATGCGCGCGCGGCCGACGGGCGCGATTGGCTCGCATGGTTTTATTTGGCAGGGGTCGTGTCGTAAGAACTCGCAACAGAGCGAGCAGACCTGTTTGAACAATCGTGTTATGAAACTGACACTGTTAATCTGTATAACTACTCAATATTCACCTCCTTACAACACCTGTGAGTTGTTTGGCGGATTCTGGCATGCGCGCGCGACGACGCGTGCGTCTGAAGTGTGGTGTGTAAATATCTATATATGTATGTATGTATGTATGCATGTGTTTGTATGTATGATTGCATACCTATATACATGTATGTATATATGTATATATACATACATCTATACATATATACATACATGATTGCATATGGATGTATGTATGTTTATGTATATACATCGCCGCAACCGCATCTTACAACTATAGGACTTGCGAATACAATCGGATCTTACAACTACAAGACTTCCAATCCACAACTTGCGCGCAGTGGATTATTTTACAAGGCTGATGGGAGGGGCGGACACCGCCTGCCTGGGGTGGTACGCGTTCACGTTTAAAATGAACGGTCGGGCAGAAATGTAAATTGCACTATCCCGAATGGTACCGATAACCCCGTGGGTTGGGGGTGGGGGGTTGGGGGGTGGAGGTGGGTGGTATATATCAATTTCTGTTAAGCTTGGTTCTTCTCAGATTTGCCCGGGACGTTTGCCCATTTGTTTGAGCGTTTTAGGTCCTAACAAGAAAACTAAAAACGCTACAACACGATGGATGTCGTGTTGCGTTCTTAGATGCGCTTTTTCGTACATTTTCTCACGCCTATTGGACGCCTTGGTGAACACTGCCTTCTACGACGTCCGCGATTCCTTCCCCTGCCGTGCAGTCTTCAGCCCTCTGGCTCTTGTCATCCCACTGCTCGCCGTCCTCGGAGCCCTTCCCGGGGCGTCGGGCCTCGGGGCCCGATGGCCGAGCGCCCCCTGTTGGGGCCCCACGGCCTGCTTCGGGCAAGTGTTTTGGGCCGGAATTGGAGCGTGTTCTGTTGAGAGGGGGGCGTTGGGAGCTCTGTGAGGGAGCACGGCGGCAGCAACGACACATGGGAGTAACTACGGCAGGGGAGACAAGGAACAGCCTTCGACCAGAAGTCAGAAACTGCTGAAGAATGACGATTCGTAGCGACGGGCCCAAAAACGCAGAAACAAAAAGAATACAGCTCGAAACGCAAAAAAACGTCCAAAGGCACAATAATGCAACATGTGTTTTGGGATAAGAAACACCCAGTACTTTAAGGAAAGGCAGGAGTTTTAAAATATGATAACATACGTAAGCTTTTTTAGCAAACCAATGTTGCGAAACCCTGTGTTTTTGTATGTTTTTGGATACTCGATTGCGAAATCCTTCCGACACCGAAGGATTTTGGAGGATTTCGGCATGCGCGCGCGACGACGCGCGCGTGTGCACTTCGTCCCGTTTTTTGCAAGGGATTCCTGAACAAGTCTTATGTTAGAACAAAAGATGTCCCCGCGTATTGTATTTGACGGGGGGTCGATACCGGCCACCCTGGGATAATGTAAATTCATAGTTCGGATGGACATGTGGTCAGAAT